CTATATGGCTTTTCTACTTTTCAGGTCTGCATAAACGTAACGAGGCCGGAAGGGTGCGACGCCGCCCCTCAATAGACCAGCAATCAGCCGTCGAGACCTTAACAAGTCACGCTCACCTCCAAACGATAATGGCTGCGAGACAGAAGAGCTGGAAAGTCATAGCGTTTCTCAAAGACATATTTGCGGCCAATCCTGATAACAAAATGGCTCTGAAACTCTTCGGAAATAAAGCGGCGGTTCTTCTAGAGCAGCGTCGACAAGCGCAGAAGGGCAGAGGCGTCATACACCCCTTCAGCACATTTCGCTGGTATTGGGACATCCTCCTAATAACATTTATCTCTATGCATGTTATTCTTCTACCTGTGAGTATCGCCTTCCTAAGCGACGACCTTTCGCTGCATTGGCTGATTCTCAACGGTATCTCTGATTGCATTTTCCTCATAGACATTTTTTTGAACTTTAAGACCGGTATTATGGATCCCAACAATAACGATGAAATTATTTTAGACAAAACGATTATTCGCCGGAGGTACTTGCGCGGTTGGTTTGTTATCGATTTGGTTTCGTCACTTCCGTTTGACTACGCCTACTTTATCGCGTCATCTTCGTCCGCGCAACAAACGCTGATCAAGGCATCGCGGGCTCTTCGTATTCTCAAACTTGCTAAGTTGTTGAGTCTTCTTCGACTCCTCCGTGTCTCAAGATTAGTACGATACATCAAGAGATTTGAGGAGGTATGGTTGTGTTAGCATAGGGAATAAGTGTTAGTTTATGAGGGTCACATCATCTTACATATCACTGAATTATGACGGAACCTCTGTTTGAAAGTGAGGTGAGAGTTGACCCTCAAATGGATGAGCAGAAATAAATAATGAAAAATCAAAACTAAAGAAATAATTTATTTCGTCAACCTCTCAACTCCCAAGAATGACCAAGACAGAATTTCTCCTTACAATATCAATTTCAATATCGAGCAGACAAGCGTGCGTGCAATCTGAGAACAAGGTATTGTCATCAAAACTTATTTGACGATTCGTCAGTTTAAATGATTTATTTACAAAGCTTATGTTTCCAAGCAATAGCCTAATTTCGTGCCCAGATCCTATCGTGTAACCACTTGGCCGTGAAAGATCTAGGTACGAGCCTAGTAACAGCCGTTAGCGTTGTCACTATCTTTCTTATCAGCGTTACGGTTATTGTACCCGTGGTCATGATTACTATGGTTCTTGCTACTGCTTTTGTATCTCTTATGGTTGTTATTTTAATTTAATGTTGCAGTTGCTGAACATATCTGGTGGCCAGATCCGTATCTTAAAACTGATTGGTTCCATGCTGTTGTTGTCCCATTGGAATGGCTGTGTCCAGTTTCTCGTCCCGTATCTGCTAGAATTCCCAGATAAAAGCTGGGTCGTCATCAATGGATTAGAGGTTGTCATATTGTTAGGGTTGTATATGAAAAAAAGCATCACTGTTTGATAACAAATGATGTTCGGAAAACGCATAATTTTTGACAAAGACGGGTGCAGAGGCACGATCGGGGGTGGGATGGGGTTCATACCTCCTCTCTCACCACACCTACTGGTACTTTTGCTGCTTAACTGAAGCCAAATTTCATATGAAGACTGGGCGGCGTCGATCGACTTCCCCTATAAACAATCCCAGTTCCCCTCATCTATTGCAGGACCCTGCTTTTCAGCGAGGTCTAGGGCAGGCAACCTTACCCTTCAGTAGGAGCAGACACCGGCGGTGTACACTAGTAATTGAACTGGCGGTGACTTATGCCCTGTTCTGTCTCCTTCTCCAGGACAAGCCCCCAGCCACACAGTACAGCTGGGCGCTATTCAATGCCATGTCCCACATGCTGTGTATTGGCTACGGACGGTATCCGCCCCAGGCTATCACTGAATTGTGGATGACCTTGTGCAGTATGACCATAGGTGCTACTTTCTACGCTGTTTTCATCGGCATCATGTCCAGTTTAATAATGTCTATTGATTCGTCAGGACGGCTTTACAATGAAAAGGTAACCAATAGTTGGGAGATAGTGGCGTCCATGGCCATAACAACAAGAAGCTTCCACGAGATTACCACATGCAAATCTTTACAAAACAAAAGTTTTGAGGATATTTTTTCCATTTTTTTAGATCTAATTTTTAGGTACAAAATAACTTCCATGATAAAAAAAACTGTCTAACTGTGTCTGCGAGGACCTGAATTCGCATGTATTCCCGGTTGGTTTCCAGGGCTGGAAGTCGGAAATCTCCAGCTATTTTGAGTCCAAAGCGCCAGCTAAAATGTCACCGCTTATATTTTGAGAGAGCAAACAGAAGTTGGAGCCTAAATAATAGGGAAAAGAGGAAGGGAGGGGAGGGAGGGGGGGTATTGTTAGTGTTTCACCTTACAGTTGGTTTAGAAACATATCTTCTGCCATTAAGTCTTGTTGGTCCTCCGCCTTACAATTGAAATAATTTTAAAAAATCGACTATTGGGCATTTCAGTTGAGTCAAGTGAAGGAGTACATGCGATACCGAAAGCTGCCTCTGCGCCTTCGTCTTAAAGTAGAGGACTACTACGAGCATCGTTTCCATCACAAACTATTCGATGAGGATGTTATACTCAGCGAGCTCTCCAAAGCCCTGAGAGCGGTAAATATTCAGTCATTGTTCTTCACGTACCTAATAAGGCCTGCGATGAGAAACAAAAGTAAGTCGTTGACAACCCTCCATTCAACATAATAAAGAGAAATCCTCTAATTCATTTCTTGCTAGTTTCGTGAATGTCCTCTCCCTACCTAGAAAATGTGGCTGAGGAGGGGGGAAGGGAGAAATAAATGAGAGTCAAAGAAAAATATCAAAAAACAGTAAAGCCTGCCAAGACTTTTGCCTCTCATTGTGGTCAAGAAAGGATTTATCTTGTACCCAGACCTTTCACAGCCAAGCGTATTTAAGGTCCTACATTTCAAATACAGTTAGACGGTAGGAACTGGGTACAATAATGAGATATGATAAGATATGATAAAAGGGAGGAAAGTGCATTTTGCGTTCCGGGGATGAGGGTCATGCGATACCACTAAGAATAGCATCTTACCTTATCCTCCATGGATTCTTTTGAGGAATTCGATTATCAAAAACTTTCCAAGTCATTTGAGAAGCTGAATGACGCACGTATTGGTTCTTATGATCTTTTGGAGGATGATGACGTTGTTATTAACGACTTTTTTTATTTTTATCATATAAGACAAATAGATTCTCTGTTGCGGTGGGTCTCGACCTCGTTCCAAGGGCCTTTTCCGTTAGCTGGAGGTGGGACCCACCCCCAACTAAGAGGAAAGGCCCTGGGAACGAGGTTGGGTGGGTCTGTGCAGCAATATATCAAAGAAGACGTCAATATGTGGGAAGAAAATCAGTGCCAATGTGCCACTGATTTGTTCCTACCGCATTTTGACATCCGGCTGAAGAGACTCGGGGCAAAATGCACGGAATCCAGTTGTTTAACATGCTTTATGCTATACCTGCTTATATCAGCATTTCATATCACTTTTGCTCTAATATAAGACATCTATACTTGGTTTGTAGGAAATTTTGGTTCACAACGTTAGCACATTACTTCAAACAGTACCCTTCTTCAGTAGCGCCAGCAATCATTTCGTCGAGGATATCGTCGGCAAACTGCGATTCGAGGTATATTTGACAGGTGAATACATATGTCGGAGTGGACGCAAAGGAGATAAAATGTACTTCATTCAAAGGGGAATTGTGGATATTCTAACTAATGATGGTACTTTGGCCACTAGCCTCGGGAATGGTTCGCATTTCGGAGGTAAGCGGGTACCATTTGGAAGTGGAGAGGCTCCTTTAGGGACCGGTCATTAGAGAGATTTAGCACCGCGTTTACGTGAAACGTGAACGGCAAGAGTGACCACGTAACCTTGTTTTTCCCGCCATTTTTTCACGTTTGCCGGATGCACTTTGCCGTTTCTACGTTAAAGTAACCTGTTTCGCATTTATCGCGCACGTGAGATTTTCTCTGTTCGTGAGAGTAGAAGTTAATTGCCGGAAAAAGGGCGCCAAAAGTATTACTTGTTGGTCATGCATGCAAGGGCGCTTTCAAATCCACCATGACGCGAGCTCACGCGGAGCTAAAGTAGCAAGGTTCACGCTATTTTACGCGAAACGCGAAAGGACAAGCTAACGTTTGCCGTTTCACGTGAACTTCGTTCTAAATCTCTCTATTATTTATCGCCGGAGGGGGAGTGGGGGTGTCGGAGGGTCTCGGTAGCATCGCAAAAAAATTATCTCATCTTCCACGTGGTATTATGATTACCTCCCCCCCCTGCATTAAATTTTCTCTATTCCTCCTTTTTAAGTATGTTAAAGACGACCGACCCTCCCCAACCCATTCCCTTTAAAAACCATGTGATCCCCCAAATCCACCAAATCTCCCCATCCCAGACGATGAATAATGACTGAATCCAACCTCGTTCCCAGGGCATTTTCCCTCAACTTGGGGAAAAGGCCCTGGGAACGAGGTTGGACTGAATCCTTAATTGCTCGTAAAGCAAATAAATACAATGTTCCGCAAACTTATCCGGCTAGTTTTTTCTACCGAAAATTTGAAAGTGATAACTAACCCAGAGATTATCCTCAAGACTTCTTTTCTTATACTCTATACCATTGCAAATTTTGAAGATTAGACACGGAGGCAGTGTTAAAAAAAGACCCTTTTACACCCGTAGACACATGCATATTCGGCATAAGAAAATCCAACTCTGACGAGGAGTATGGGCAATCTCAATTTGATCCACCCTTCCCCACCAAAACCATTCAAGAAACTTACTCAGTTGTCAACAACTCCTCTGCTAATTAAGTCTGAAGCGTGTATCCACAAGCCAAGGTAGACACGACCGAGGGATTCCTACAACTCCAGTGACAAAGACTTTACACCTAACTTTACTTATGCTCTTCAGCTTTGTCAGTCACTTTAGTCCTCTACCATAATCTGTTCCCAGATCCTACCGTATTACTGTCACCGTTTGACCGTGGAGGGTCTGGGTATAAGACTACCTCTACCACTCAGTTAATTGGTTTCAGCGCCAAAGTTTCAAAATTAGAAATCCTTGATATAATGTTAATTTTCTTGCCAGAAATTTGTCTCTTAACACGAGAAGCACGTAGAGTTGCCTCTGTCCGAGCTGCGACTACTTGCAATCTGTACTCTTTGTCTTCGCCTCATTTTCATGAGGTACTCATAGAGTATCCTGATATGAAAATAATGTTGGAAGAAGTCGCGAAAGAGAGACTCAGTCGTATAGGACTTGAGCCGACCCTAGTTGAGTCGCTGACGAAGGATGAAGATATGGGAAGGTGAGACAGAGGGTATGGTGGAAATTAGGCTCTTACTGGTTGTTTTGATGTGGGAAATTGTGTATTTGAGACAGAAACCGCTGCCAAAAAAGACTGAGGTCTTTCTGAGGCAAATGTGCTCTTTACTTCCCCAGGATTAATATCTTGTACTGCAGCTGCTCGCGAATACGGAAATCGATGCGTTATTAACTAAGCATCAGGCTAAGATGGTAGGATATTGGCCAAATAAGAACGAGGCTAAAATCTGTAAGATCTCACCTAAACACATTTTGAATGCTTCGCAGGTCAATATTTAAAGCAGAGGAAGGCTCCCAAACGAAACCTCGTGAGCTTCATCCCCTCCAACAAGAAGCGTCTACTTCCAAGAAGACTGCTTCTCCTCCGCAGGGCAAAAACAATGCCACAGCAATAAAGGTTACCACGCCCTCAGATGCGTCTGCGCATACCACGTCTTCGGAAGCTTTGCCGGAAAACAAGTCTTCTGCAGCTGTGCCAAAGGATTCCACGCCTTCAGCTGGCTCACAGGTAGATTCTTCCTCCACCAAACAACAATCTGAGGACACATTTCCACCCCAAGCCAGAAGCCCTCCACCCAAGAATAAGGGGAAGCTTCCTCCAATCCTGTCAAAAGCGTTCTTCAACACTGTTGCACCGGGACTGTCGCTTTTTGCACAAAAGAATCTGCCTGAGTTAGACGTCGTTGTCGAGGAGAGCAGTGATGATGAAGAAGAAGACCCGGATGTGATCGCTATCGTGGCAGACTTCTAAGATTCGGATATTTACGCGTCTCGTTATTTTGATGACGAGTTCCATAAGATTTACGTAGGACCTCGATATTTTGTAAAGCTTTGTGTAGTGGACCCGTTTCTCCTTCACGACAAACCTTTAACTACAGATAATTAATTGCTATCATTATTGAACGCAAGACATATAAATACACAAAACAGATACTTAATTTTCTATTCGTTGCGCATTGCAATTTCACAACTTTAGTTTAATACTGTTTACTTTTTTTGTACAACTACTATTAGTTTCATTTCAAAAAGAGTTGAAAACATTTGTTACCTTTCAAAATAACATGAATAAATCTTCATGAATAAAATGGAATGTTAAAAATACGGTTCATTTTGTGGCTTTGTCATTCGAGACTCTCCTATCATGTATTCCATCTTCTCCAGGTTACACGGGCAGAAAACAGTCTCCCACTCAATCCTGTTACGGTCCTCATTTATTCGCTGAAATGTTTTGCCTCTACATAGCTCTTCGAGTGCTCCTCAAGTTATCTTATCCCTAGTCGCTTATTATTGATCTTTAGAAGCGCGAGAGGGATTGGAACGGGTCAGGAAGGTACGCCACCAGGTCTTCCAAGGCAAACCATCTACCCTTAAGCGCCTATCTTAAAAGGCACGAGTTCACTATGATGAATGCATTGATAACTCTCTCTTTCTATATTTTGTATTTACAGTTAACATGTCATAACTTAAATAGTTAGATCAATTAGCCACATCACCAGTTTACAGGCGGACCAACTAAGAATAATGCAGTGGAATAAGTTTAAAGGAGAGACAAAGCATTGCATTTAAGGTAAATTTTTTGGAAGGGAAACCAGAAAAATATTGAAATAGCGGGAGCCTGATTCAACGGAAAATTTCCCTTTGCAACGTCACTGGAGACACGTCAGGGTTTTCTGAGATAACATAACCCTTCAACTAGACTTGAAGGCCTCCGCTATGAAAACCGGTCAAGAGTTTGGCTTGTCAGATTATGCGGCAGTTTTTTGGTCAGCATTATTGTTCTGTATTGCATCTAGGACATCCATGGCCGCCACTGGTATGCGTGTTCCTGAGTCAAGAGTAATTAAGAGCAACGTTAGGTTTGGGCAAAATAAAAAAAGGAAAGTTGCGTAAAGAAAAGAACTTTACTGAGTAAAAAACACTATCTCGCCAAATCGTCATACTACAAGACGGACGCTCTCAAATGAGTGAAGTGACCGAGCTGTTTTCAATTGAGTATGGAAAATTATCTGGGAAAGCATTGGTTATGCTATTATTCGCTACGATTGGTCTACCAAACCAAACTGACAATCACTGAATCAAATGCAAAAGAAAAACCAACGGTAACTTGCTCACTCGTGTTTTCCCGCACTTAAACAGTTAATACAATGAAAAATTGTTACCTGCTTGTGAAAAAATAAAAAATAATAATAATAATAAAAAAATTCGTGGCTGGTGCGACGCGGCGTTTCGTCTCGGCAAAGAGACTCAACAGATACTTTTCATAAGTTTCAAGCGAACCCGTCGAGCATCGCGCCAAAAGTATATCCTGACTTCGCGAACTGGACTTTGAGCGCGATGCTCGACGAGTTCGCTTGAAATTCACGAAAAGTAACTGATGAGTTTCTTGGCCGGGAAGAAGCACCGCGTTCGCTTGTTTTTACTTTGAGTTTTCATTGGCTCCTCAGGGTATTTTCTTTCGATCTGAACGACTGTTGTGATTACTTTGATTTGGATTTTGGTTTTACGTCACTCAAACCAAAAGTGATTTCTATATCATTCCAGTATAAGGCCCATTTGCCCTCAGGTCTTCAGTGGGTATGGGCAATATTGTTCGAAGGAACTATTTTCTGTAGGAACATAACGAAAAGATAGCGTTCCTAGAGAGATAGCACTGACGAAGCTTCGGACGTCCCTGACGCTGTGTGAAACTAGAGAAGTACCAGGGAGATTTAAAAAGCTTGCGCTGTCCTAAGCTCGTGGAAATCAAAGATACAGTGCGGCTTTCTTTCGTCGAGGTTTTATCATCGGAAATAAACTGTCTTGCGACAGCGTCAATGGGCAGAGCGCTGGGCGACACTTGGGCTATCTGCGAGAATGGAGGTGACTGTACATCACCTCGAACGTTGAGTAACTTGAGTGGCGAGAAGGCTCACCAGAAGCATTTATTTCGCGCTGGAACACGTGACACTAGTAACGTCACTGCGTAATTATCAACACCCAAATGTTCCATCGCTCGAACTTACCGGGACCGAAGATGCAGTGAACTCCCGAATCATAAAGGAACTGGTAGTCTTGCGGTGGAATAACACCACCACACACGACAACGATATCACTGCAAGGAAAAGAGCAAAAAAACAACCTGATGGCCATTTCTGACAATACCTAGTTTGAGTGGTAAGATATCAATTTACCCTTTAATCCCTAAAGATTGACTAGCTTCTAATTTCTCCTTGTAGTATCCCTCTGGAATTACAAGTAATGGTCGTGAGAAAAAGGAAAGCTCCTGATTGCCACACAAAATCTCCTTGTCAGAACCATAGTAAATGTAATGAGGACAGCGTGGAGAAAATGAATACTGACGTAATGGTGTAAGGGGTTTAAAGTTGTTTTGATTAAGCATTCAAACGATCAAAACAACTTAATTTTTTTTTGCTACAAGAATCTCGACCAAAATCTAGCGCAAAACGATTCCTCGCGCTTGACGATGGCTGAATGGGATCACTTTAAGTTCTCTTTCAATATCCTCCTCTGTTTGATTGGCTGTTGAGACAGCCTCGACTTCCAGTTTCTCCGAAACGCGTCCAACATGTCTAAAAAGTAAACTTTTACGATGAACCCCTTGTTTTATCCCCCTCTCCTCGACCTTACTACAAACACCTTACTTACCCTCTTCCCATTGACTTCATCTGTGATATCAACTCAGGAATCAGCGTTTTGTGTCCAGCAGCCTGGGAACTAATTCCCACCACATGAACATCCGCGTCCACGGCCTGTTGAGCAACTTCATTAGGAGTCTGGGGCGAGAAAAAGAGCAAATTGCTAAAAATAGATAATTTTCACTCGACGTAGGCATTCATTTTCAGGTCATCACTCCGGAGAGGCCGCCCACCTGTGAGAGAGTTTCATCACCAACTCTTTAAGGACGGACCGTCGAGTTTTTTGACGTTGTTGGAGTCGTTCTTTCCTTTCTCTGTATGACAAAGACAATAAAGACACAGGCTACTTACCTGGAAGAGAGGTCCAATGTCGACATCAAATCCCAGATCAGCGAATCCAGTAGCGATAACCTTTGCACCTCTATCGTGCCCATCTTGACCCATTTTAGCAACAAGGATCCTGGGACGACGGCCTTCCTGTTCCACAAAGGCCTGGGCACGAAATAAAGAAATCACCCTTATTTAAGTAGCAGAGTAAACTAAGCGTCTGTATAACGCACATGTTTGCTCCAAATACTTATCAAAACTAGTCGGAAATTTTCTAAGTTTCCAACGAAGGTGGCAGCGATAACGGCACTTCTCTCTCCAACTTGTTTAAAGTCTGATTCTCAGACAATGAGTAAAGGCATATCACTCTAACGTCACTGCACGCGATGAGCCTGGTAAAGACCTCGCTCAAAAATAGAGTTCTCTTTCGAGGCCTGGTCTGAGGTACGATTCCTCAAAGGAACTCAGTATATTTTTCTCATCTTTCCGGCTTAATTTCATACAGCAGATCATGATAACGCTGATGGGACTACTTCTTGCAAGTATAGTCACGACTTCTTCTTTAAATTATAATCTACAAGCCATGATTTATGGTAGTAACTTACCTCAACTTTCTTCATGCACTTGTTGATTTCATCGGATTCGCCAAACTCTGTTTTGTAGGCACCGCTGACCATGCGATCACTGGCGACATGCCTGCCAACCACCTTTAATCAGTAAGAAAATGAGTCTGCCCATGTTTATTGGTACTTAATGAATGTTGGAACATTTTCATTCAGCTCTTACATGTTCGTTGGACTTGTTACATTCGAGTCCTCCAAATTTAAGGAATATAACTACAATGTAACTGAATGGAAATAAGACACTGAGGTTGAATATGGGCTGGATATTGGGGGGCAGCTTGACCAACTCGTCTAGCAGCCGACAGAAATAAATGGCGTTCCCTGGCCGGAGCCCGATGTGCATAGACGTAAAGAGTGGACTGGTTCACGAGCTGTCTAAAAATTTTTATCACTTACCCTCTCCATTGCCTCGGTAATCTCGCCCACAGTGCAGCGAACCCTTGCTGCCTTCAAAGACCAAAAAAAATTCGAGGAAATTTTACCTCCGTCACATGTAATTATGCACATCTCAAAGAAATAAACATCGTCTTGCAGCCAAGTCAAAGAGGACGCGTGTTTCAGGCAAGGTAAAAATTGCATTGGCGAAAGAAATTAGTTCATACAAATATATACATGAAGACCTTTTACCTATTAAAACAACTACTATAAATAAATATGAGCTCCAAAAGCTTTTTACACGCCGCAGTTTGTGTTTCTTGAATACGTGTCCTTGTTCTATATCTCGCAATTGCTCTGGTCTGCAACAAGACAAACTTTAATACTCAAAACTAGCGAGCTTTGTAACACACACAGATTTAACCTTTTATATCAGGTGGTCACCAAAAATGAAACTTTGAAAGCGTACTTTGACAGCAAGATCAAGAAGATTCCCTTCTCCTGTTTTGCAGCATTCTGATATGGCATTCATGGCAAGATTCACCTGCAGAGAAAAACAAATTTGGCCTTGTTAAATAACCTTCAAAAGTAAAACGTTAAGAATTGGTAAGCTTTGATAACATATGTATGTTAACGAATGAAAAGTTGGCAATGGATGCGACTCTTACACATGACCGAGGAGATTAAATCTGGCTTTGTCTAGAACTTGTGGCTAAATTACTAGCAAGGGAGACTTTGGGTCGAAGAGTCCAGATTCGAGCTTCCTTGTGATGGGTCTCGGAAAAGTCACGTTTCCTCTCATAGCGCCTTTCTCCACCCAAGGATATAAAAGGGTACCAGGATATTGTGTGGCATTCCGTCCAATGGGAGAGCCACTACTCCTAACTGCTTTTATATAAAGGAGACCGCAGTAAACTCGAACTTTTGAGTTCGCTTCGTAAGGAGACCATTTTCCAACTGACGTAGAGACACTTGAGCCGGGAGATTTTAATCAGGAAAAATAAACATTTTGACTATTTACCTCGTCTTGATTTCGCGTCTCCTTGACACGCTTTATTTTCTCTAGCTAAAAGAAGGCAAATGCACCAAATTTTGAGTAGCTAAAAACGTTTTCTAAACCGAGTTGTTCGAAGCTCAACTAATGTGAGATATACAACGTTACTTTGAGAAACTTTCCCAGCAAAATATCGAGACACTTTCCTTCTAAATTGGATCTAACTACGAAAATTTATTTTGGAGTTTAAGATGTACCAACGGCGACGGCTGGGAAAACTTTGTCCAAAAATGAACTTTCATTGCCATTAATAATTTCACCAGGAGCTAGGTGTAGTTACCGCTTGTGAGGATGCAAGAACTCCCTCTTCACCTTTTTGTGTGAATATAGCATTAAGTTCAAAGTGAAAAAGTGACTAAATTACCGTTGGGGGTTCCTTTCCAAGTGTGCGCAAAATTTAGTGATTTCACGCTGTTGCTATGCATAGGATGGTAAGAAATGAACAAAGCTCCTAAACGCACGTGCCGGGCTATTGTTCTGCCCATGAATTCTATTGTTTTGCTATATTCACGTTAACGTCGCTGTTCTGGTTTTTTTCTCAAAGCTCCCATTATTCCAAGGTCATATGAACCTCCGAGAAAATAAACACTCCCGCTTAACTCTGTAATAAAAGATCAGATTTTCTCTTAAAAATGTGCATGTCTCGAGAAAACCCTCTGATTGAGCAAAATTACCCAAAGGAATTGGCTCATAGTTTGAGAAACTTTTAAAGAAGAATGAAGTCTTCGCAGTTACCTGGCTCTCTCGCACTTTGGTGTTATCCACAACAAGCACGTCTATTTCTTCTTCTTTAGCCAAGCGATATTTATTAACACCGACGATAGTTTCTAAGAGAGAAAAATGGCATCTTTGAGAGATCAGTCCGCATGGTGGGCAATCGTTGAACTGGACGCGAATAATTACGACCGGCACGTGCAGGTGGAAGTTGTGCGTGCAAAAGCGAGTAAGAACTGCAAGTATTAATAAACACGCAATAAATAATTTCCCTCGGTGCGTTATGACAAACTGAAACAATCACGTGTACTTCTATGGGTTTTCTAAATTGTGGGGGAATAAAAAGATAAGCTTCTCCTTGCTGAATCCCGTTGTTCACCAGGTGACATAACAGTCTATGAACAAGGAGACTTGGAGAAGAAAATTTTGCCATCTACGAAATTCGCAAGTGTGCATTACTTGACAAAAACATTGCAGACAGTTGAGCGGAACTCCATACTAGCAAGTTTTTCCTATCCGGTTATTTTTAACAATTTTTCACCCTTTACCTTTGCAGATTAAAAGTTTAGTAGAGAGGGGAATAAACTAAAGGTTTAATATTCTCGACATATCTGAAATTCAATTTTTCCGAAGCGTTTCTCAAAACGAGCGAATCAAGAAACCAAAAGAGTTTTTAAGCCCCCAGAAAGAAGGAGGAGCTGTATTGGGTGACGGAATTTGCACATTCTTCAACGGAAGTGGAATTGAGACTAGGACAAAAACGGGATTTTACCAAAATCTGGGTTGAGAAATAGATACATACGTTCCCTTTATAGTCCCCCAGAAAGGCTCCGACCTCCAAGATATCCCTTAGTTACCTGATCCCGCGTCAATCCTCGCCTGTCGCTTGGCTGCACATTCCTCGATTCTCAGTTTCGGCATTCCAGCGGCGACAGCTTTAGCCATACCTCCCATTTTTTCAACCTGGTTATCAAATTCTTGCAGTTAACTGTCTTACAAAAAACACTCTGAGAGAGAACCATTGTTTTTAAGGCACTACATACTGGGAACCGCCTCGACTTGTATCACCCTACAAAAAGTTAAATTAGACTTTTTCTTGCGGTTGTCAAAAACCACTCTTCCCGCGCAAGCCACAAGGTGGACTTTTTCCTCCGTTTGCTGAAAGCTTTGCTGTCTCTTTACACCTTTTCCGTACGCTATTTCTCTAAAACTTTCCACAACTCACAGTTATCCCGCGCTTTCCATAAGTACAACATCTTACGTTTACCTTCGCGCGCCCCTTACGAAACCAATGACAGCTGCATTTTTTTTTTTTGTCGGAGGTCTAAACTTACTAACCTCGTTAATGACAGCCAGGCCTTTTTCGTATATCTCGTCGGTGAGACACTCCATCATGTGCGACCCACCCCATGGGTCTGCAACCTAAGATGAAACATCCCACGTGAGTAAAGACGACATCTTAGAGAGATTCAACACCGCGTTTACGTGAAACGGCAAATTAAACGTCAGCTTGCACTTTCACATTTCACGTAAGAAAACGTGAACCTTGCTTCTTTAGCTTCGCGTGAGCTCACATCATAGTGGGTTTAAAGGCGCCCTTGTATGACTTACAAGGAATAGTTTTGATGCCCTTTTTCCGATAATAAACTTCTGCTCTGTGACAGAAAAAGTGAAGAATCTTACGAACACGGCAAATACGAAACGGGTTACTTTCACGTAGAAACGGCAGAACGCAACCGGCAAACGTGAAAAGATGGCGGGGAAAACAAGGTCACGTGGTCACTCTTGCCGTTTACACATCTTTATATTTGAATAGGGAAAGTTCTAAAGAGGTCAGTTACGTGAATTAATGATTAAAGATGGAAAAATCAATCAAGGATTACATTAGGAATCCCCGACTCCTCTTGGAGAATGATCTGCGTGTTACGAGCAATCCTAGCACTGAAAGGCGTGGGTAGTGCTAAGGCCTCGTCGAACGAGTTGGTATGCAAGGACTGGGTTCCACCAAAAACTGCTGCCATCGCCTCTATTGTTGTCCTGATGATGTTGTTATATGGATCCTAATAGAAAACAAAAACAAATACAAACAGTCTTACATATTCTACAGGTAAATCTCAGTTGAAGTCGGCTGAATCATATCAAGCGTATTTTTCACAAACAAGGAGAAACTACACGTACTGTATGAAACAAAATGACCCCTTCACTAGTTCACGGTAAATTTTGGCAACTAATTAAGATCATCCATTTTTGCTGATCCTATATCAGATGTATGGAGAAAGCTGCAAGAGAACTTAAAATTTGTTTGTCTTAACATAATTTATCAATCATGGACAAAAAGAGCAAATGTTTCCCTAGTAGATCGAGAAGGAACAAGGTAGGAATTTTTGATATATAACGTCTCAAACTATTTTGTACAAGGAAAAAAAAAAACGAAAAAAGAAACACTTGCTCTGAATCTTTCATTGACACTGTCTGTTCAGCTTTCCAAAAACAAGTTGAAACAACAACAAAACCAAAGACGTTCCACCACTGGAATTGTTTATTTTAGCAATAAAACAAATGTTTCCGGGCTCTTTAACGTGATAAAGCCATAGGGGATGTTGGGACGATTATAACTATGGTTGGGAGAACACCGGAGGAAAGCTTATAAACCACGAGCCGAGGGCGAGAAGAACAACAGCTCTTAAAGAAAAAAGGATGCAGGGAAATTCGCTACCTGCTCAGTGAGAGACCAGCCAGAAGTCTGCGAGTGAGTCCTCAACATGCAGGACTTCATATTCTTTGGTTTGAAATTCTCCTCAATCTGACGAGCCCACAGTCTGCGGGCAGCTCTCATCTTTGCTATTTCCATGTAGAAATTCATCCCAATTCCCCAGAAGAAGGACAAACGGGGTGCAAAACTGTCAATGTTTAGTCCAGCTTTGAGTCCTGAGAGAAGACGGCAACATAAGAAGAGTGGAGGACTACAGGTTTACTAATTACATGTAAGCCAATGAGAGCATTCCACAGGAAAATTACCGCCTTCACACTATTCTATACTATTCCCTTGCTCTTTATTGTCATTGTTATGTAGTACAGTTGCTAAAAAAAAAAAAAAAAAAAAAAAATACAGGGGCAGGATAATTAATAAAGAAATTAAACCCTTAACAGACACCAATTTGAGTGAATTCTGACCTTCACTTGACCCCTTCAGAGACACATATTTGATCAGCAGAAAAAGATTGAAAAGTGCTTCTGTCACTATACAGAGAGCATAACCTCTCTCTCTCTCTCTTTGCACTTTATTCTACCAGTGTTCATTGCATACCTGTTCTGCAGTACTCCAGACCATCAGCTAGAGTGAAAGCCATTTCCAGCACAGCATCTGCTCCGGCTTCTTGCATGTGGTAGCCAGAGATTGAAATACTGTTGTACTTTGGCATATTCTGTCATAAAAAAGTATTGTAAAATAATGTTTTTAAATATTGATTTCTATAATGTATCAAGTAAAACCTTTTTTTTTTGATAATATACACAGAAAATACATTGAAAAAAACAGGCAAGCTAAGTCATCAATGTATCTCCAAATGTCTTCATCCCCAAGTGGAAGGGAAGGAAACCCATTGGATTTTACAACAGGGTCTCTGGTCCTCCATCAGCCACAGGACATAGACAATTGTTCACTTAATTTTGTTGAAATTCTCGCGCCTCTAAAGAAGAGAGAGTATGTGGTTGGCAGTGCCTCACATGCAATTTTTCCCAATGAGCAACCGATTCTAGGGTAAGAGGCAATCCCTGTATAATGTACCACAATGGCTATAGCAGTAGTCAATTTAACCTATTTAATACTATTACCAGTACCAGGCTAAGCGATGCATGACATCTAGTCAGTACCATTTATTCAAGTGAGTCTACTCCGTCTCTCCTGGGACAGGAGACTGATTTGTTCCGCTGTAAGTGCCTTCCAACATTAATTCTTAATCATGATGCTAAAAGACAGACAGTTTGAACCTACATGCACTGTGTACCTGTGAGGTGAAAGAGAAGATGTCGCCAATGATCTTCATGGATGGCTCAGGAGGAAAGATGTAAGTATTCCGCACCATGAATTCTTTTAGGATGTCATTCTGGATGGTCCCTGACAGCTGCTCTTGTTTTACTCCCTAAAAGTTAAGTTGTAAACATTTATTTATCAACTTTTACCCTAATAAGATCTTGTTATTAATAACCCTGCAAACAAAATAGGCCAGTCTTGCCACTGGGGATTACCTGCTTCGATCTTGAAAATATAAAAAATTAAAAGACTTGTAGCTTGACAGGTTTGGATTATTTGTTACTTAATGCCAACTTAACAGACTTGCAAGAAAAAGTTCTCAAGAAGTTTTGACACTAATTGACAAAGTCACTCACACATCCTCAGACTGTCAAATCAAAGACAACAAGAACAAGTACATTAACCTGAAATTTATTCACAGATTTAATGGTGTTATTCTTTTACCATATACTGTAATGGATGCTTTATTGACAGGGCTTAATGACACTAACATTTCAACTTACTAGCCAAGTGGCTAATGACATCTTAGATGTTACAACAATTTCAGTTTGTTTACTAGCCAAACTGGCGAGTGGAAATCGAAAACCACAAGCTAAAACTGAATTTCTACTAGTCTGTGGCTAGTGGGCTAAGTACTGTTAGTGTTGGACCCTCATTGATCAAGCTTGTTTTGTCATGGTGGCCCTATGTTGACTTGTCTATCAATTGATGTGGAATTTATGACTTTCAGCTTTGTCCCCCATTCATAAAATGCAAAAAAGAACTTGGCCAATACCCAAGCCTTTGGATTCCATGCTTAATCAGTAACACTTAATGCTGTACACAAAATATCATAATACTTACTTGTTCCTCTGCTGCAACAATATACATTGCCAACACTGGTAAGACAGCACCATTCATTGTCATGGAAACTGACATCTTATCCAAAGGTATACCATCAAATAGCATCTGGTAAACAATTGATACCACAGGAAAATTCAATACCTGATGAGGAAATTCTGCGTCAAACCGCCTCCCGTTTGGCTCAATTGGTTAGAGTGCCGGATTGTGTCGTGTGGGAGGTCAAAGGTTCGAGCCCCGGCCGGACCAATATACTCATGATCTTAAAATAACTGAGGAGAGTTTGCTACCTTTCTATAATATCAAGAAATGGATAGGTATCCTAAGTCTTCTCAGATAAGGATGAATAAACCGTAGGCCCTGTCTCCTACAGGGTTAGGGGTAGGAGACATTAATTTCCCATGCACGAGATTACTGTGTGGTGGATATCCTCCCCCGGGGTGAGATGGGTGGGTTTATTGGGCCCGCAGTAATTGGCGCAAGCTGTTGCAGTGTCCCTGCCTGTCGGCGAAGTTAATAATTATAAATTATAAGTTAAAAATTATAAATTATAAATTATAAATTATAAATTGCATGTCAAAACTAATATCACACCAATCCCAAAGAAATGAGTGCGATATCTGTTTTCAAGTGCAATTTAAGACAGAATTCACGGGTTTGGTAATGAATTTTCCTTCAATGACATAACTGAATAAAAATAAATAAAAAAGAAAACAGCAATGATATTCTTTGAGTGCTAAACAAGAGATGCCAAACAACATCACTTACCCTCATTTTCAAATATTGCAATTCCATGCTAAATACTTTACTTCATAGACCAATCAGAATACCAGATTTTATCTAATTTATACTATTCTATGGTTTACTGGTAAATGCGCTTGTATTTGCATTTTTAATCGTTCTTAAATCAGCCTCAGCCCCCAAGATTTCACCCTAAAATAGACGGATTCTGCCAAAGCATTCACATCACCTTTTCCTCTTAATTGATAGAGTGGTAATTTATTTTGAGGCTTGCAATTTTTAATCTTGATTATACCCCCTTGCACACCACTGCTTGTGACAAAGTGTTCAAGTGAGACACACCACAGGAATCAAAACGTGATCTCAGTAGCAGTGAAATGCAAACATCGCAATAGAATAAGTCTATTACCTTCATATCTTCTACTAAATCCACTGCAACTCCAGCCATTCCAACATCACCATGCACCCTAGGGTTGTCTGAATCATACCTAAGACAAATGGCAATAGTTACTATACATAGGTAAAGTCTGTTTATGAGCCTAGTGGCCCATTAGACCGGTGCTTAACTCCGGTTTCTGTAGCATGAAGTGACTAAGAGTGTTTCTACTCCCCCCTGGATGGGATGCCAGTCCATCGCAGGGTTACCCCCAGCATTAAATTGCCCGGACCACTCAATCCGGAGTCGAGCGCACTAACCATGAGGCCACTGTGCCTCCACTGTTTTTTCATGATAACAAAAGTTTTCATTCACTAATAAATTGACCTACATGTACATGTACATTGTCACTTAATAAAGTCTGGGCAATGATCTGTACATTAACGTACATCTAGTAAGTGTCTTTATCAAAATTTATCTAATACATAGATACAATTTGCTCACCCTCTATGCGTAGCAAGATCGAATGCAACACTGAGTCCTTGCTGTCCAGCTTTAATGTTGTCACGGTAAAACTTGTTACTTTCCTCAACAGTACTAAAACCTGCATACTGCAAACAGTAAAAAATTTTTCTTTATCAGAATTGGCTGTGATCAATTATCAGCTGGGTTAATTTACACATCATGTTCTTTATTTCATGTATCTCTAAACTGAGAGAAAATTGGGCCAGTCAGAATGATTGATGAAATAATTTTTTTCCAGTTCAAGAAATACAGTAAAACAAAATGAAATACAAAAAAAAATCATGCTGGCCAGATTTTACAAGATCTTAATTATTATGGAAAACTCAGTCCACAGGATTAATAGGAAAAGACTCAGTGACTTATAATCAAGCTTCCAAGATATTCAGTCAGACTGAGTACTGTCTCTCCATGAATTATAGGGTACAACTATAGCTATTCATAGCTACCTAACTAATGTGAATTCTCCATTAAATTGGACCATCACACTCATCCCTTTTTGATTCATGCAATATCAGTTTTTGCACGTAATTTAACCACGAATTCCCTTGTCAGGTAATGAATTTTCACTAAGAATTAGTACACCTTATATCTCACCATCTTCCATCTGTGATGTATTTGATTAACATACCTGTCTGATGGTCCATGGGCGGTTAGTGTACATGGTGGGGTACGGTCCTCTTGTAAATGGAAACTTTCCAGGTACCTCTTCCTCAGAGTGCTGTGTGTCTGTTTTGGTGTACACAGGTTTGATGTCAATACCCTGTGTAATGTGGTAAATAGTTTATTACTAATCAGTAGTTTCACTGTAATTATAGATGAATCATTTAACAAGGCAACAACAAACTTTGTACTATATTTTGATAAGTGGAAATTAAGCTGCCTTGGTTGCTTCCTTGGATACTGTTCTAGTTATAGTAAAAGTCAAACTTCCTCTATTGAACCTGCTCTCAAAACTTCCTTGTTTGTTGATTATGACTACCTCTAACTTATCTTGTCATAAAAAAAAACAAAACAAAACAAAAAAAAAAACAATTTTTACTTTTATTGCTGATTACTGAACCAGTTACTTACCTCAGGAGTATGCCATGTCAACTTTTTTTCTGGATCGGCACCTTTTAACTGTTTCTTTGCAAGTTCAGCCCATTCTGGATGCAGGGGCTCTCGATGAAGAGTGCGTCTTCCTAAAACCTTAATACATAAACAGTGTACATCATTAGTACTCATTTGTTCAAGTGTATTTCTGTATCTTTGAGGACATAAACCCTTCACACCCCATTATCAGCATGTACATTCTCCATACTGTTCTCTATACATTTCTTTGGGTGCAGAGAATTTGTTTGACAATCAAGAACTATTTTGGTTGTTGATCCTTTCCTTTACTCTCATGACCTTCATGTGTGATTCAGGTGTGATATTGTAAGGAGAAATTAGATGCTAGTCAATCCCTTACTTTAATCCACCTCCATCACCAGCCTCAGTCCCTACTATCTCGGCATTGTAGGGCCTTACCATGTTTCATTTCATTTATTTAACAACTATTCACCAAAGTGGAAGTGGCTAGTGGTGGATATTTACTGAAAGGGTGAGGAAAATATCCACTGCTAACCAGTGAATAGTTATATATGTTAAAAAAGTAAGACAATAACTCATTTATTATTGAAACAATTACAAAGCTTTTGAGCAAAATGTGGGCAAATGCTCAGAGAAGAATCCCAAAAAATAACGAGTTTGAATTAAGCCAATCAGAGTGCACCTTAACAATATTCACTGTTTTAGTATATATTTTTTTAAAGTATCATAAACCTAGTTGTTGAGCTGAATTTTAACTTCAAGAAAAAAAATTCAGGGGCTAAATTTCTGAATTTTTGAATTTTTTTCATGTAAAAGAAATTAGCTGGCTTCAATTATGCTGTATTTCTTTGAGGCTGTCCTACACTATAAAGAGGACTGGGGGGGTTGGGGGGCACCTGAAAAAAGTAATGTCCCTGAATGTAACAAATGTTTCAATGGTAAGAAGATGTTATTAATTTTAAAAATCACAATAATAATATCAATCAACTTAATTTATAAGGGGTAAAACACGTATCATTTAACAAGCTGATAAACAGATGGCCCTCGATGTTGCAGGCTATGCGAAAATTTCTAGAATAATTCATTTTTTTAATATGCAGGTCTAAACTTTTTGCAAATGTTAGCTCAGTACCCTACGATCAAAACCTCTAGAAGATCTTTTGAAAACGCGTGTTATAATTAAGAAACGATTTAGAATGTTAAAACAAAAGTTCAACCAGGAAAACGCTAATTTTATCAAAACAAACTTATAAACACAAAATATTTAGAGCGATCTCTCGCGACAAGAACTGTTATGAAGAATTAGTCATTTAGACGAGGATAAATTTCACACGCCGTGATTAGGATCACGTCTTTGAGTCTTTCGTTCTTGAAAAAATAAAATCATAAAAAATCTTTACCTGGTAAGCTGTTGAGAGCGGATTTAAAACACCTTTGCTTCTAACCCTCGCACAGGTCAACATGATACGAAAAACAACCGAAAGATTTTTCCTTTTCAGATAATAGTCGCCATCAGCAACCTGCGATACACACGTTACATGACGCTTAAACTGGAGAAAGAAACATACAGCTGGCCAACGAGTAGCTCATGTAACGCAAGTTGTCACGCAACCGCCTGGATCATTTCGAACAATAAAAAACACGCAAGACAAGACAAATAAGACAAGGGGAGCAACGACTCGACAGCTTCCAAGAGCTGCATTTTGTTTTGGACATATCAGTCTGGCCTATTTCCGATTTTGGACACTTGTAGCCAATTTGAAATTTTGGAGACAAAGGCCAATATGGGATTTTGGACTATTGCTGATTTGAGATTTTTAACAGTAGTGGTCGATTTGGGATCTTGGACATCAGTAATTGATTTAGGACTTTGGACACTAATGGCCGATTTTTGATTGCGGACATTAGCAGCTGCTTTCGGATCTTGGACACTAGTGGCCGATTTAGGATTTTGGACACTAGTGGTCGATTAAAGATTTAGGACACTAGTGACTGATTTGGGGTTTTTGACACTGTGGCCGTTTTTGGATACCAGGGGCCCATTTCTGATTTTAAACATTAGTAGTGACCTATTTTTCTTTTGGGCAGTTGTGATCACTAGAGGTCTGAATTTTTATTTTAGGCAACAGTGACCTACAATGCGGAATGTTTTTTTTGTGTGTGTGAAACAACGGTCTCACAAAATGGAATTGCAATTAAATAAGAAAATTATAAATGATTAACAGGCAAATTAAAATTAAAAGAAGCCTATTTTAATCATTATTGGGGTCCAGAGGATAGACCAATCTAGGAACATCAACAGTGAGGTTCTTGAGCAAGCCTCTATAAGTTATCATTGTTATTACTATTGTCATCATCATCATCATCATTATTATTATCATTATTATTACTATTATTATTATTACTATTATTATTAATATGATTATTCGTTACCATCCAATCATTGGCTGAGTGTTAATTATTCACTGCATTCTTGAATCATCTTTCTCTTGTGGAACAGGGTACTCACAAATATGCGGAATGTGGCAGCAGTAGCCACATCCAGTCTGAATCGCCTATTTTATTACATAATAATTTGAATATATCAACAAAGTTGAAATGGTAAATTGGCCACCGTTACGGTTATGAAATGCTGACGTTTCGAGCGTCAGCCCTTCGTCAGAGCCATTCACAATTTTTTTTTTCTTTTTTTTTAAGTACATTCCAAAACCCATTGCCTTTTCAGTGTATTATTTTTAGTTTTTTTTTTTTTTTTTTCATCGAAGGAGGCTCTGCATCGATTTGGTCCACTCATTAAGTGATACACGATACTTCGTTATTTCTGACACTAAAAAAGATGTACAATCACGACTTTGTTTCAGTGTAGTACCAAAATGAAAGAAGTATGGTACGTTTTTCTGCTATCTACCAGTTTGTGATATAATGAGTGATTCTTCTTCAATTGCCTTGACGTCAGTTTCTAATGTGCCGCGCTTTTCGAAAAGTTCCAAAAAATAGCAGCAGATTCTTAGAAAACCGCTCCTCGTTAATTACTACAATGAGTGCATCAAGCGCGAAGACGGTCTTTGATTTTCAGATGTCATGGTCACGAGACTGATTGGTGAACCTCTTTGTTTTTGAGTGGGTAAGAAGTAAGCATAAGCTGTCAACACGCATATTAAATACGCTGTCAGTAAGCACATTTCGTCAATTACAGCCAAGCTCTGAGACGGGTACATAGCTCGTCCATAGTAGACCTTGCAACTATTCCTATTCAGTTTTTCAACTGACGAACTTCTCCCTTCAAAAACAACTACCAGGAAGAGTAAATTTCCAAGCTTTGGTAAGTCTTTAATCATTCTTTATTCATTTCTGCAGCTAGCTCAACGAAGGAAGGTGCAACACAGTTGGTCTGGACTTGAAGCGTTCTCTTCGCTGTTATTTTAGATCTCTCCGATTCAGTCAGCGATGATGTTAGTACTCAGAACTTTTCAAGGAACAAGAGATAGAATGACATAGAATGCTTTAACCACTTTTTACTTATTCCGTTATTCCATGTTTTATTTTTTTCCGGGGGGGGGCAAGGAATGGGGAAACTTAGTGAAGGAGTGAAGGCATCTGAATTTGCTTTCAAACATTTGCAATCCGACGACTTTTTGCTCTTCCTTTGAGAAAAATTGTGACCGACACTTCGATGTTCTGATTAAGTGATTTTGCAGTAACTGCTGCTATCTTGGGGTTACCTCCAGGAATTATGGAAGTGAGAAACGGAAGTTTTCTTTAAATAACAAAATGCCTTTTTGGATAAAACACATAAACTTACTAGGCTGCAATAAAGAGCAACCAGTGAAAAAGAGTAAAAAGATCTGCCACGTAATCGTTTTTCAATTTCGTAAAAATAATATTGGATCCGTTAATTGTTGTTTACAAAGCTTGGCGGGGTCTCTTGGCTTAGACTTCACAGTTTGAATATATCAACAAAGTTGAAATGGTAAATTGGCCACCGTTACGGTTATAAAAGCTGACGTTTCGAGCTTTAGCCCTTCGTCGGAGCGAATAGAGGAATTGTGGGTTGTGTGTGCCTTTAAAGGCAGAAAATGGAGCTACGTGATTGGTTGGAACATGGTAACGAGAAAAACAGGAATAAATTAGTGGAATGAAAAGCGTTCGTTGATGCCTGTGAGATTTAGACTACCGGTTTGAAAGATGAGCCTTTGTTTAAGAGTCTTGCGGCTTTCCGTGCTACCTAAGTGTAAGGAAAGACCGCATATTGCCATATGTTGCTTAGAATGATTGGGTAAATTAAGATGTCTAGCGACTGGTTTCGATGTGTCCTTGTCATTCCTCTCCACGTCGCGAGCATCAAATACAAAGAACGACAAGGAACGATAACAAGACCTTTATATCACAACAAGTTTCCTTTTGGGGTAAGAAAGGTGCTTATAGATTTAGACTAAAATTTATAGAGCTGTTGATGCGAAATGATATTAATGACGTTAATGGTTATGTTCACAGAGGACAACAAAAGTTTTGTCTCAGATGAAATATAACTTCTCTTTGTTTTTTTTTTTTTTATTATTCCTCTTTGGGTTGATATCACGTTTACTCATGATTTCTTTCGGCTCTTTCCCAACAATTCAAGTTCAGAAGAAGATGAAAAAAATATGATAAACAAAGACCACCTAACGGTGGCAATCATCTTGTATTCCGATCATTCTCGTCCTTTTCGCGTTTTATCTTGCGCCTTGTAAGCTCACCTTCGTTGTTCTCCTTATTAGATTTAATGTTTATGATTAGTTTTCCTTGCTCGTCGAACATTTTAAATCACATTCATTGTTTAAGTTAGATCTTTATTGACTAAGAGCTTTTAAATACTAAAGTTTTTTCTAGACCACAGAAATTGAACTAGCTTCTTGTCTCCATGCATAATCCAACCACGCAATCGATAACTGCCAACATTTCACTGATTAACTGACTTAATCTTACTTCATTAATTAAGACGTTCCGAAATTGTTGTATCTTTTAACAGCGTCTGAACGAGCGGCAACTACCATTCAAGACATTGATTACGGAGATGGCACAAATATCCAGTTTACACTCGTCATTCCTGATATACATGTATACGTCTCATAACCGCAGTTCACACATATGTTTCATATGTTTGTTGTTGTTTGATTTATCATCTACGGGTTTATATCGAATTAATTTGATGGCCTGCTCCCAGTTGGCTTGTTAGCTCAATTGGTAGAGCGCTGCACTAGTATCGCAGAGGTCAGTGGTTCGAGTCCCGTACAGGCCTGAAATTTTTTTCAGGTCTGATTTTCACTATTGCTCAAATAGTGCTTTACTGCGAAGGATCGTTCTCATATACGTCTCATAACCGCAGTTCACACATATGTTTCATATGTTTGTTGTTGTTTAATCAGGGTTTTCTTCAGCTGATACTGTTGTTGATGAGGATAAAGACTCGAATGTCCCTGTCCATGTTGTTGCCGTTGGGGTGGTCGGTGGAGTCGTGGTTGTCGTCATCGTTTGTGTCGCTGTCATCATTGTACTACGCAAGCGTCGCCATAGTGTAACGCTGGCTGAGTCGCGTGGCGCCCACGAAGCCGCTACTCCAGGCGTGTGAGTTTCTGCAACAGCAATGTCTTCATTATATGGCATTAATTACTCGCATAGAATTTAAAGAACTAATCTTCTATTATAATTTTCTGATTTTTAGCCGAGTGGCCAAAAGAATGAAATCACAGTTGCGTGTGCGTGTAACTTTTTATAGAAGACTTTTTTTTAACCTCTTGCAAGATGCTGAATAGTCTTAAAAACAGCCAAAGTCAGTGAATCCCATAATTTCTTGGCATTTCCTTGCTTAAACTATTTTGAACACTCTCGTTTCCCTTATTGCAGAACTGTCATTATTGGTTTGCCATGTAAAAGCACGTATTAGTTATTTTAAATGTTAAGAAGGCGTTACCAAGGAATGGGAGGCGGCAATCTGTTTATTCAGACGCTTTTCCGATATAATTCGAAATCGTTTTGGAAAAACGTTGGAGCCAAAAAAGGTGGGTTGTAGTTTTTTGTGATCGCAAAAATTTTCAGTTATCAATTGATTTAATCAAATGATGATCTAATACTTTCGAGATCGTGCTGACGTTCCGAACCACGGAATTATGAAAGAGAGGGTGAGAGAGAGAGAGAAAAAAAAAACTACAGGACCAGGTAGAGAAGAAGCTTAATACAAACTATGTAAATAAGTTTGAAATGTATATACATATTTTATACTAGATTTTTTTTACGTCCTTGCGAAGGTAAAGTAAATCTTATATATTGAGTTAGTCTAACACGTACCTGTCGCATTAGTCTAAAGCAGATCTTCCTCCAGTTAAAAAAGATATTCGTGGCAGGATTTCAAATTCTGCCTTGACTATCTTTCCTAACTGGAGAGTCGAAAACTCTACTAACTGATACTATGATATTAGAAAGAATTTTACTATCTTAAAAAGAAATTATGTGTTCCACTGAATATTGCTGTTAGAATATTGCTA